TTCCCCCTAATTCCTAAACAGATTGAGCCATAACCCCCCAAAGCAAATCCTAACCATCCCTTTGTGGTATGGAAACTTGTGGTATAATTTCAGAGATCCATACACCGTTCCACAAGTTATTGTCTGGAAACTAGAAAAATGCTTATTTGGGCCCCTTTTTGGCCTCTAATTCCTAAACTGTTAGGACCATAAGTCCCAAAATCAATCCCAACTTTCCTTTTGTGGTTATAACCCTCGAGTTTAAATTTCATAGATTTCTATTTAATTATACTAAAGTAATTGTCCGCAAACCAACTGTCTTCAGACGACAACGTTATACCAATATAAGATCGCAAAATATTTGGGGTCGTATAAAAACTATATAAACTATAAAAAAATATGTCTTGAAATATCCCAGGACTTCCCAAGAAAACATCTTGAAATGTCCCAGGAGTTCTCAGGACACTATTGGGACATTCCAGGTTAAAAAGTCCTGAAAAGTTTTTAAATCCTTGGACTTCTCAGGACAATCCTAGGATATTTCAGGTTTACTAGTCCTGAAAAGTCCCAAAACCCTAGGACTTCTCAGGACAATTCTTGGATATTCCAGGTAAACTAGACCTGAAAAGTCCCATTTGGTCCCATGCTTTTAGGATCAGGATTTCCTGGGATATCCTAGGAAATCCTGTTCCAATACTCTCCCTAGAAATCCTGAAAAGTCTTGAAATTTAATTTCAAGAAGTCCTGGGATATCCCAGGAAAATATCTCAGGAAGTCCCAGGAAGGTCTTGGGATAGCCTAGGATATCCCAATAGATTCTTGCAAGTTTTAAGGATAGATGACTTCTTATAGGATAGTTTGCCTTCTGACAGTTTTTACATGTATGGACAATTGGTAGAGCTCAACATCCTGAACATTTTTGCTCTTGTCAGATTATCTCTCTGTATAATGGTTTTCAAAATAATAGACAAACTTGCATTGTTACCTCTATGTTCTATTTTAGCCATCTTGGCCATCTTGGTTGGCAGGTGGGGTCATCAGACATATTTTTTTAAATTAAATACCCCAATGATTGTTGCCACGTGTGATTAAATTTAGCAAAGTAGTTTCCAAGGAGAAGAATTTTGTAAAAAAATGACAAAAATTTAGGAAAAATTGTTAAAAATTGACTATAAAGGGCAATAACTCCTAAAGGGGCCAATTGACAATGTTGGTCATGTTTGACTTATTTGTAGATCTTACTTTGCTGAACACTAATGCTGTTTACAGTTTATCACTATCTATAGGTTGCAATTCTGCAAATATAGACAATGCAATTTCCCATAGGAACATAGGAACTCCCTTTGCGGCTGAAACTGACAATTTTACTATGAAGTTTCGTGAAAAATAATATCCCAGAACAGAAAGTTTATATGCACTACTATTTTATTCAAAGGTCAAAATATAGGGCTGTGCAGCATATTTTCAACATTTATATGCCCTGAACTTCTAAGAGTTTAAACTTGTACTAAAATTCTATACTACCCTTACCTCCATATTTTGACCTCCTAAGAAATTAAAACACAGAGATCATAAATGGGAACCAGTACGTTAACAAATTAACAGATCTATGAATATTATATATAAAAGAGGCGTGGTTTGAGAAACAGCTGTATTTACAAAGTGCAACCTATAATAATATTCAAGATAATAACCAAAAACTGCAAAATTTCATTAAAAATTACTAGTTCAGGGGCAGAAACCCATCAACAGGTTGTCTGATTTGTCTGAAAATTTCAAAGGCAGATAGATCTAAACCTGATGAACATTTTTATCCTGTTGTATTTGCTCTAAATGCTTTAGTTCAGAGATCTAGATATAAGCCAAAAACAGCATTTTACCCCCTATGTTCTATTTTTAGCCATGTTGGTTTGGCAAGCGGGGTTATCAGACACATTTTTTTAACTAGATACCCTAATGATGATTTTGGCCAAGTTTGGTTGAATTTGTCTATGTTGTTTCAGAGGAGAGATTTCTTTAAGATTACAAAAATTTACGAAAAATTGTTAAAATTGACTATAAATAACTCCTTAAGAGGTCCATTGACCATTTTGGTCATGTTTGACTTATTTGTAGATCTTACTTTGCTGAACATTATTGCTGTTTACAGTTTATCTCTACCTATAATAATATTCAAGATAATAACCAAAAACTGCAAAATTTCCTTAAAATTACTAATTCAGGGGCAGCAACCCAACAACAGGTTGTCTGATTCGTCTGAAAATTTCAGGGCAGATAGATCTAAACCTGATTAACATTTTTACTCCATGTCAGATTTGCTCTAAATGCTTTAGTTTCAGAGATATAGGCCAAAAACTGCATTTTACCCCTATGTTTTATTTTTAGCCATGGTGGCCATGTTGGTTGGTAAGGGGGGTCGTAGGACACATTTTTAAAACCAAGATACCCCAATGATGGTTATGGCCAAGTTTGGTTAAATTTGGCCCAGTAGTTTCAGAGGAGATTTTTGTAAAAGTTAACGATGACAGACGATGGACGCCAAGTGATGAGAAAAACTCACTTGGTCCTTTGGGCCAGGTGAGCTAAAAATTAACTATTTCTGGACAGTAACTCAACAATTAGTTGTCCTATTGGTCTGAAGATTACTTGACAGGTAGATCTAAACCTGTTTAACACTTTCACCTGTGTCAGTTTTGCTCTTACTGCTCTAGTTTTTGAAATAAAAGCCAAAAACTTCATTTGACCCCTATGTTCTATTTTTAGAAACTGCCCCCATGTTTTTTAAATGGATCAAATCCCCGAATACAATCTAAAAACTGCATACCCTAAGGAACATTTTTTTAAAGTTTTTAAGTATTTGGCAAAGTAGTTTCAGAGAAGATTTTTGAAAAAGTAATTAGACTTTCACAAAAAAATGTTAAAAAAAAACGTTATAAGGGCAATAACTCCTTAAGGGGTCAATTGACTATTTTGATTATGTTGACTTATTTGTAGATCTTACTTAGCTGAACATTTATTGCGTTTTATACTTTCTCTCTATCTATTATAATATTAAAGAAAATAACCAAAAGCAGTAAAGTTTAATAAAAATAAACTATTTCCAACAGTAACCCAACAATGGTTATCGAACTTGACTGAAAATTTTATGACAGATAGATCATGACCCATTTATCACTTTCACTCCCTTTCACTTTTGCTCTAACTGCTGTAATTTTTTTATATATAAGCCAAAAACTGCTTTTGTCCCCTATGTTCTATTTTTAACCATGCTGGCTGTTTGTTGATGGATCAAAACTTCAGATACATTTTACAAACTAGATACCCTAAGGAACATTCAGTTCAAGTTGAGTAGTTCCAGAAAAGAAGATTTTTGAAAAAGTAATAGACTTGCACGAAAAAATGTAAAAAATAAACGTTTCAAGGGCAATAACTCCTTAAGGAGTCAATTGACTATTTTGATCATTTGACTTATTTGTAGATCCTACTTAGCTGAACATTTTTGTCATTACTCTTTCTCTCTATCTATTATAATATTAAAGATAATAACTAAAAACAGTAAAATTTCACTAAACTATTTTGGACAGTAATCCTACAATGGGTGGTCCAATTGGTCTGAAAATTTCATAGCAGATAGATTTTGTCTTATTCATCACTTTAACTTATGTCACTTTTGCTCTAAATGCTATAGTTTTTGAGATAAAAGCCAAAAAACTGCATTTGACCCCTATGTTCTATTTTTAGCCATGGCAGCCATGTTTAATAATGGATCAAAACTTCAGATACACTTTATAAACCAGTTACCCTCAGGAACATTCAGTTATAGTTAAGAAGTATTAGGCCCAGTAGTTTCAGAGGAGAAGATTTTTAAAAGATAGCAAACATGATGAACAAATTGTGTAAAGTTGTCTTTAAAGGGCAATAACTCCTTAAGGGGTCAATTGACAATTTTGGTCATATTAACTTTTTTGTAGAACTTACTTTGCTAAAAACATTTTTGCTGTTTACAGTTTATCTTTATCTTCAATAATATTCAAGATAATAACCAATAACTGCAAAATTTCCTTAAAATTACCAATATAGTGGCAGCAACCCAACAATTAGTTGTTCAGTTCATCTGAAAATTTCAGGGCTGATAGATCTTGATCTATTGAACATTGTCAGATTTGCTCTAAATGCTTTAGTTTTTGAGATATAAGCCAAAAACTGCATTTTACCCCTATGTTCTATTTTTAGCCATGGTGGCCATGTTTGTAGATGGATCAAAACTTCAGATATAATTTATAATCTAGATACCCTAATGAACATTCAATTAAAGTTTGAAGGTTTTTGGACCAGAAGTTTCAGAGTAGAAGATTCTTGAAATAGTTCATGACGACAGACGATGGACGCCAATTGATGGCATAGGGCCAGGTGAGCTAAAAATTTAAATCGCCTTTCAAGACATCATAATTATTTGGATTAATAAAACCGTAAAATACAAAAGTGTAATTATTTTGAAAACAAGAATGTGTCCATAGTCAAGGATGCCCCACTCGCACTATCATTTTCTATGTTCAGTGGACTTTGAAATCGGGGTCAAAACTAAAATAAGAAAGATCATATCATAGGGAACATGTGTACTAAGTTTCAAGTTGATTGGACTTCAACTTCATCAAAAACTACCTTGACCAAAAACTTTAACCTGAAGCGAGACAGACAGACAGATGAACGCACAGACGCAGAGACCAGAAAACATAATGCCTCTACTATTATTGTAGGTGGGGCATAAAAATATGTTCAAAACTGAGTCCATACCCATTTGCTTGTGAAAAACACATTCATGGAGATTTTTAACATAGAATCATGATTTGTACTATCAACTGCAATAACCCAAACCTATTTGCTCGTGAAAAGTATATAGTTATTGAGATTATAAATGTTGAAAATTACTTTGTTTTATTAACTGTAACAACTCAATGCTATTAATGTAAAACATTAGTAATCTATATGGAGGAAAGGGATAAATGAACAAATAAAATTACTTCATATGATTAAAATCTGTGAAGATTCTGTTTCTTTTCATCTGTTCTTTCATCCACCAACATTCTGGGTTTCCCATCCAATAATCTTTTGTCTTTCTGGTATATTTCGTCTTACATTTTGTAATCATGAAGAATGTCTGAAAGAGATAAGGAAGACTTACTTCGTTTTTTCTAATGGTGTGGTTATCTTCATGGATTTTTTCATTTGTTCTCTGATCCAACTACACCTTTGACCATTAACATCAGGACAACCATGTTTAAGGTGATATGTCTAAAAAAAAAAAAAACAGTTGTTCAAAACAAAGCAAGCTTTTGTCTATCATACTGACTCATTCAAAATAAATACTATGATTTTTCCAGGGACCATTTAAAAATTTATTATAATGAAGAGACAATCACATCAATTGATTTTTTTTCTATTTTTCATAACCTTGAACTTTGACTCCAAAATAAATAGACTTTTTATATCGCGATGACCGTGAGGTCATTCCGATGATAAGCTATCGCCTAGTTTTTAATTACTTAACTTTCGTTTTGGGTTTGTAACCGATCTATAAACATGATAAACACGCGGATATTAACGAGTGCAAAATAACATTCCTTATCGTTTGTTATAAATACATCTCTTCAATGAATACTGATAACAATATTTTTGTTCAGAACATAAATTAATAATATGAAAATGTTTTGTCGTAAGATATATATATATAAGTAAAAAAACATTGATACGGTAAAGCATGCGGAAGAATATTTCAAGAACATTTTGCGACAATCCCGGCAAGGACCGGTAACTCTGCATGGAAGATTGTTTTTGCAGGAAAATATGAATGCCTACTCATATCCAATCTTTTAGAAAAATGTAATTTTTACAGAAGAGTGTCCACCATGCACTTGCACTGCACTCTTATTAGAATAGTAGAATAGAATGATATACAAATGGATGAAAATTATATATACATGTAACTGTTATATTAATATAATATATAACAACAAACCAGTCATTTATTCATCATCCATGCACGAACTTGTCTCAGATAAAATATCTCTGTACATTAACCTCAGTTGCAGGTATAGAGATGTGATTTTTTTCTGTGACAAGTGCTTTTGGCAATCTACAAGAACTTGCGGTCATCCGATGTTCAGTACTTCAGTACTTTGATTCCCCTTTGTTACGGCCAGAAATCACCTTTTAATTGTAGCCAACAAAAGACACAAATCAATAATAAAATTTAACAAGATTTATTATACACAAGTTTACAAGAAATATTATACAAATTGAAATGTCAACTTAACTGTTAAAATATCTGTCCGATCCTTTGTCTTTTCTTTATCCGGAATTCTTCTCTTAACTGTACGGAATATGTCCAATAAGTTCAAAATCTAGTATGATGTAGTTAACGTAAAAGAAAGTGTCCATCCAAAGCTCCAGAGATCTTTTGAGAATCCAATTATATTAATGTCTAATGTGTAGTCTAACTTTAGTGTCTGTATATATATAGTTGTCACGGAAATCTCTAGAACACTGTAGAACGAAAACTTCTAGAATACGGTAGAAGTTTAAATTACACACCGTAGATTATGATCATTCCAGAATTATTATGTAAGTCAAATAGAAAGTTCTAATCATTCCATCAGTATCTATGATTGTTCCAGTGATTACTACACAGTTATAACATTATTTTGTAAACAACTACGTATTGTGTAAACATATTATACATGTTATAAGGCCACACAAAACAAATTAGGCCAAGATAAATAAATATAATACTTGCAATATCATAACACCTAGCTCCCACCTTAAAAAAAGTTTGAGTGTAACAAAAACTTTTCATGAATAATATATACAAAAACACAAAGTATGTATACAGTATTTTAATAAGATCTAGAAAAGGCATCTGCTTTTACATTACATTTACCTTTAAAATGTTTTTCAATAACATCATATTCCTGCAACAATAAACTCCACCTAGTCAACCTCTGGTTCTTGTTCCTCATTTTATGTATGAAGGCGAGAGGATTATAATCAGTATAACCAAGAATAGGATGCATAGTGGGATTTAAATATACATCAAAATGTTGAAGTGCACACAACAGTGCAAAGCACTCTTTTTCAATAGTTGAATAATTTTTCTGGTGTTTATCTAATTTCTTAGAAAAATATGATATCGGTTTCTCAACATTATCATCTGTCTCTTGATATAAAACGGCTCCAACTCCTACACCACTTGCATCAACAGCAAGTTTAAATTGGTTTTCTAAAGTCTGGAGTGATCAGAACTGGACTATTAATTAAAAGTGATTTGCTATTTTCAGAAGCATTTTGACAATTATCACTCCAGATGAATTGAGAATCTTTCTGTAAGAGATGAGTCAATGGTTGAACAACAGTAGCAAAATTTGAACAGAATTTCCTGTAAAATCCAATCATGCCTAACAAGCTAGTGAAACTGCGAGCTACTGCTCACTGATGATACCCCGCCCAAATATTTTGGTAAATAGGAAGTTGTTGAGTGATGAATCTGAAAATGCATCAAACAGTATAGCTGACTTATATAAACCCTGAAACCAAATTTCAGAAATCCTTGTATTGTAGTTCCTGAGAAAAATGTGAAGAAAATTTTCAACTTGGCTATCATGTATTAAATGATACAAGTGTTCGGTAAACAGGAAGTTGTTGAGTGATGAATCTGAAAACGCATCACTTGTTATAGCTGACTTATATAAACCCTGAAACCAAATTTCAGAAATCCTTGTATTGTAGTTCCTGAGAAAGATGCGCCAAAATATATTCGTGGGATGGAAGGACGGACTGACGGATGGATGGACTGACGGATGGTCAGACAGAGGTAAAGCAGTATACCCCCACTTTTTTAAATATATAAAAAATATGTCGCATGTTGTTTTTTATTTGTAGAAGGAAATTCGGTAATTGCATCCACTTTAGCCATAATAGGTTTCACTTGACCATGGCCATCTGTATGCCCTAAATAATCAACAGTGGCCCGACAAAATTCACTTTTACCAAGATTTACAGTCAAATTTGATTGTGACATTTATCTACCTAAAAGTCTAAATCTTTTATAACATTATTGATCATTCTTCAAAATGTTGCTGGAGCACTTTTCATACCAAACAGCACGACAGTATACTGAAATAAGCCGTCTGGTGTGACAAAAGCGGATATTTTACAAGCTTTCTGTGTTAAGGGTACCTGCCAGTAACCTTTCAATAAATCAAATTTGCTCACATATTTTGCTCGCCCAATATTATCAATGCAATCATCTATCCTTGGAATCAGATTTTGAAACTGAATTTACTTTTCTGAAATCAGTAACGAAACAAAAGGTTTTATCAGGTTTGGACACAAGGAGACAAGGAGAGCTCCATTCACTGTTACTCTGCTCAATAATACTATTGTCAAGCATATATTTAATTTCTTGTCTCATATTAAAGTTTTAGAGGATTGAGCCGGTAAGGATGTTGCTTAATTGGAGAAGCATAGCCTACATCGACATCATGACAAACAGCAGTGGTTTTGTTTGGCACATCTGGAAAAAGATTTTTAAAAGAAAATATCAAAGTTTTCAATTTTTCTTTACGATCAAAATTCAGATGTGCAAGTTTTGAGTCTAAATTTGACAAAATGTCTGAATTTTTCAATCTAACTGTTTGTTCCATAGTTTTAGAATCAAAAGGTGGTTCAATTATATCTGGTTTGTCATGGTTTACCCTCACCTTCATTAATATGGTTTTAACAAATTTATATGACACACTCTATTTTGTTTACACTGACCTGGAGTTTTTACAATATAATTCAAATCATTGATTTTACTCTCTATTGTATAAGGACCACATCATACCATATTTTCATCTTATTTTGAACATTTTTAAAAATTTTCTGAGCAATTGACGAACAGTATACAATTTTTATTTAAATCTAGATACATACTGGTAGTCCAGAAGATTCAAGTCAGTGTGTTCAGTAAGCCATTTTTTCCTTAACCAATTTCAAAGGTCCCCTTACAATATGACCAAACACCAACTCAGAGGGACTAAAACCAAGGGATTCCTGAACAGCCTCTCGGACCGCAAAAAGTAAAAAAGTGAACACCATTATCCCAGTCCCTGTCAATTTGAAGACAAAAAGTTCTAATCATGTTCTTCAATGTTTGATGAAAATGTTCTAAGGCACCTTGAGATTCTGGATGATAAGCACTAGACCTATACTGAGCAATCCCTAACTGGTAAACGACCTGCTGAAATAAACCTGACATAAAATTTGAACCCTGGTCGGACTGTATAGACTTAGGAAGTCCTACTAACGTGAAAAATTTGATAAGAGCTTTGACAATTGTTGGCGTCTTGATATTCCTTAACGGAATACCTCAGGAAAGAGCTCGAGAGTGGATGTACACATGATTGTCAATAAATACGCATTTCCAGTCTTGGTCTTCGGTAAAGGTCCAACACAATCAATGAGTACTCGACTGAAAGGTTCTTCAAAGGCTGGAATTGGCAGAAGGGGTGCTGGTGGTATTTTCTGGTTGGGCTTACCAACAACTTGGCATATATGGCATGATTTGCAGTATTCTGTGACATCATTTCTAAGTCTGGGCCAGTAGAAATGCTGCAAGATCTTAGGGCAAGTCTTCCTTATACATAAGTGTCCAGCCAAGGGGGTGTCATGGGCAAGACCAATAATGTCTTGTCTATAGACTTTAGGCACCACCACTTGGTATACCACTCTCCATTCCTCCTCTGGGGTAGCATCAGGGGGCCTCCACTTCCTCATTAAAATGCCATCTTGATGATAGTAACATTCAGCCACTTTGTTTGCTTCCTCCTGTGGTTGAACCCTCTTGCATCCACCACCGGTTCACTGGTAACAATTGGTTCAGCAACCACTTTGTTCCTAGCTAGATCATTTCCTAGCAATAACAAAATACCTTCAACAGGGAGATTAGGACGAACACCCACAACAACTGGTCCAGTAATTAAATCGGACTTCAAAAAAATTCGATGGAGGGGAACATCTATACAACCTAACTCCACACCTTGTAACAAAAGGGAGGCACCAACAGAAGTCTCCTCGGACAAAAGCAACACACCTGCAAACAACAAAATCTGGAAGCTCCAGTGTCCCGTTGGCCGAGTTGTCTAAGTAGTTACTACTGTAATCACTAGCCAGTCAACACTGAGGTTGTGAGTTTGAACCTCGCTCGTGCGTGTGCACTCGACTCCAATCTTAATTGACTAGGATTGTCAGTTTTCTTATCGAAGGTCGGAGGTTTTCTCTGGGCACTCCGGCTTCGTCCACCAATAAAAACTGGCTGCCACGAAATAGTCCAAAAGCAGTGCTTAAAAGTGGCATTAAAACACCAAAAATCAAATCAAATCCAGTATCCCATAAAGTTTTAATAGGCTGAGGAGTAGTATTGTCAACAATAGAAACAAACCCATCAGACATAAAGGGTTTATAATCCTCCATGTAATCACAAAAACTGGACTTAAAAGCCTGACTTGCAGGACATTCCAACTTATTGGTAACAAGGGGTGTCATACAAGCACTGGACTTGGGTTTGTTATCTCTTTCATTCTTCTTCTGGAGTCTAAAACAATCCGCCATCAGGTGACCTTTCTTCTTACAATAAGCACAAGTTAGTGAATTCTCAAAAGGATCAAATTTAGAACTAGACATATTATAACTAGACTGACCTTTATTCTGTGTTACAGGCTTACTATCAGTATGCTCAGTACTTTGATTTTTGTAATTTCCGTTCGAAGAATTAAAATTTTGACCTTTGAAACTTCTTTTATGTGAAAGGGTTTAATTATCGGAAATAACAGCTGCATCTTGTACTGTCTCAACAGTTTTGTCATCTAAATGTGTTTTTAATTCTAAATGAACACACTGCTTGAACTCTTCTAATAACATTAACTGTATTATTTTATCAAAATTGTTATCTATTTTCTTTGACGCAAGTCATTTATCAAATAGACCTTCTTTTTCTATGGCTAATTCAGCATAGGTTTGTGAATCAAACTTTTTATCAGACCAAAATTTCTGTCTATATGCTTCTGGCATTAGCTCATAAGCTTTCAAAACTTCCTGTTTTACCGTGTCAAAATGGAACTTTTTTCTGAAGAAAGTGCTGAGTAAATTTCAGCGGCCTTGCCCTCAAAAACACTTTGCAGCATTGTAGTCCAATAAGGCTTTGGCCATTTCAAATTTTGAGCAATTTTCTCAAATTGTGGAAAATATTTATCAACTGCTTTTTCAGCAAACCTAGGAACCAAACGAATACTTTTTGCTGCCTCAAAATGTTCTGATTTTAACTCATATTTAGTGTTGCTTTCTGCTTTGACCATTTCTGTTTTTATTTTCTCCATCTCTTATCTTTCCCTCATTTCAAGTTCTGTCTGTTTTAATCTAAATTCCTCTTCTTTTTCTTTTATCTTCTCCATCTCTAACGTTTCCTTCATTTCAAGTTCTGCCTGTCTTTCTTCTTTTTCTTTTTCCAATTGTCTTAATTTAAATCTATCTTCCTTTTCTAATTGTTTTAATTTAAGTTCATGTTCCATTTAAAGCTGATTTAATTTGATAGCATCAACATTTTCGACCTTGAGTTCAAGTGCCTCTTCACCAAAAATT